TTTTGTTTCTAAAAAGATTGTTTGAACTGTTTCTCATTTAAATACAGCAATTTAATTTATAAAAGCCTCAGAACTGCATGGCTGCCTCCAGTGTCTCCGACAGCTTCGTGGCGATTTTCTCTGCGGGATGGGATCAGGAGTTTGAGGGGAGGCGATCAGGGAGGTTCGGGGGGTCAGGAAAAGGGGGTGACTTCACTCACCTGCTCTTTTTTGCAGTTTTTTTCTCCTTTTCCCAGCTGCCCGCAGCCCCTGGCCCTGGAACAGAGGGGGGAGCGCAGCCACCTCCTCCAGATTGGGGGCTCGGGGCACTGGATCCCCCCCGGTGCCCCCCGACTTCACCCGGGGCTTGAGCTCCACTGTCATCGTGTTGAGCTGGGGAGGGGGTGTCAATTATTAACCCACTGCCCCCCCCCCAAAAAAAAAACAACCCCACCTCAGCAAATCCCTTCCCACCTCCAGGTCACCGCTGTCGTCCTCCATGGCTTCTGCTGCCCCGTCCTCCTCAGCATCGCCCGGAGCCAGCCCGAGCCCCGCCACCGTCACCGGGACAGCTGCGGGGGGACAGGTGAGTTTTGGGGGGTCCCCCAGGGGTGAGGGGAGCGGGGCTCAGGTGCTGCTCACCTGCCAGGGCCTCGGCATCGCCCCGTTCCAGAGCCTCCAGGTCCAGCGCGGGCCCCAGCGCCGGCAGGATTTGGGCCTCCAGCTGCACCCCCTGCGATTTGGGGGGGTGGGTGTAGTACGAGATCTTCCCGCTGTGGGGGGGAAAAAAGGGGGGGGGGTCAGGGTGTGGGGAGAGCCCTCCTGTCCCCAAAAACAGGGCTCAGGGTATGGGGGGACCCTGCAGCCCCTCCCAAATGGGGTGACAGGGGGTGGAAAGACCCCTCCAGTCCCCAAAAAGGGAATTATAGGGTATGAAAAGACACCTCCAAAGCCTGAAAAAGGGGAGTCAGAGTGTGGGGGAGACCCCAGAGCCCCCCAAAAAAGGGTCACAGAATCTGAAGAGACTCCTTTGATCCACAAAGGGCTCAGAAAGTGTGGAGAGACCTCCCCCCACCCCCAAAAAAGGCACCAGGGCACAGGGAGGCCCTGCAGACCCCTCAAAAATGGGGTTAGACGGTGGGGGAAGACCCCTCCTGTGCCCAAAAACGGGATCAGGGTGCATTGGGACCCTCCCCAGCCCCCCCCCAGAAAAGGGGTGTGAGGATGGGGGAAAACCCCTCCACCCACCCAAAAAAGGGGGTCCAAGGGTTGGGGAAACCCCTCCCAGCCCCCCGGAAGGGTGCCCCCCCTCCCTGACGCACCCGGTCCAGTCGCGCAGCAGGGCCACGGCGGCGGCCTGGGCGTCCGGCAGCCCCCCCGGGCGGAGCCGGCCCTGCCGCCGCGCCAGGTGGGCCAGGAACTGCAGGGGGTCGGCGCAGGGAGGGACCCCGTAGAGCTCGCCCAGCTGTGGGGGGACACGCGGGGGCCGTCACCCTCACCCTGCTCCCCTCCCCGTGCCCAAAACGGGCTGGAAACGCCCAAAGCTGGGGAGGACCCCCCCAAAATAACCTCCCCCTCCCCACTGTTACGGACAGGGGGTTTGAGCCCCCCCCCACCCCTCCCGATTTTGGGGGTCACTTTAAAGCTGAGCACTAAAACTGCTGATTCAGCTGGAAAAACGGGGTTCCCCCAAATCGGGACCCCACCCTTCCCGTTGCCGTGGTGATGGGGCCCCCCCACGAACCCTCAGCCCCCCCGGGGGTCCCCACGCACCTGCTGGGGGGGGCAGCGGCGCAGGATGGCGCAGGCGGGGGTCAGGGGGTCCCGCAGGCGCTGGGGGGCCAGGGCCCCCCTCAGGGGGGCGGCGGCCGGGGGGTCCCCCGAGTCCAGCACCACGCCCGGACAGTCCAGGAGCCGGATGTGCCGGTCCAGCTGCACGGCCTGCAGGCACCTGGGGGCGGGGTTTGTGTGCCACACCCAGCTGGGCGGGGTCTGTGCCACACCCACCTGGGCAGGGTCTGTGTGCCACACCCACCCACCTGTGCACCTGGGGGCGAGGTTTATGTGCCACACCCAGCTGGGCGGGGTCTGTGCCACACCCACCTGGGCAGGGTCTGTGTGCCACACCCACCCACCTGTGCACCTGGGGGCGGGGTTTGTGTGCCACACCCAGATGGGCGGGGCCTGTGTGCCCACCCACCTGGGTGGGGTCTGTGTGCCCACCTGGGTGTGGGGCTTGAGTGCCACACCCACCTGGGCAGGGTCTGTGTGCCCACCTGGGTGTGGGGCTTGAGTGCCACACCCACCTGGGCAGGGTCTGTGTGCCACACCCAGATGGGCAGGGCCTGTGTGCCCACCCACCCACCTGTGCACCTGGGGTGGGGTCTGTGTGCCCACCTGGGTGGGGTCTGTGTGCCACACCCACCCACCTGTGCACCTGGGGGCGGGGTTTGTGTGCCACACCCAGATGGGCGGGGTCTGTGTGCCACACCCACATGGGCGGGGTCAGCTCAGCTGCCTCCCCCAGCCCCCCCTCCCCCTGGGCTGGGCACTGTGACCCCCCTGTGACCCCCACCCCAGCTCTGGGGGTCTCACCTGGTGACGCCGGGCACGGCCCCCACCCCGCAGGCGCGGCTGCGCTTGAGGCTGTTGATGAGGCTGCTCTTGCCCACGTTGGGGTACCCTGGGGAGCAGGAGCGCTCGGGGGGGCCCCAAAACCCGGCCCCCAACCGCCCCCCAGAGCCCCTCACCTATCACAGCTCCACCTTCACAGCCCCCCAAACTGCCCCCAGAGCCCCTCACCTATCACAGCTCCACCTTCACAGCCCCCCAAACTGCCCCCAGAGCCCCTCACCTATCACAGCTCCACCTTCACAGCCCCCCACTCAATCCCAGCCCCCCAAACTGCCCCCCGTGCCCCCTCACCCACGACCCCCACGGTGATGGAGCTCCTGCTGCCCCCGCAGCGCCCGTAGTTGCTCAGGATGTGCAGGAGGCTCTCGGCCCCCACGCAGGCCCCCCCTGCCAGCACCTCCTCGGGGGCTGCGGCCGCCGGCACCCGGCTCTGCTTCTGTGGGGGGGCACGGGGGGGGTCAGGGGGACCCCCGAGCCCGAGCCCCCCATCCCCAGACCCCCAGCACCCACCAGGTTGCGGCTCTGCTGCTGCGTGCACGCCTTGAAGGCCACGGTGGGGCACTGGGGCCGCAGGTGCTTCAGCCAGGCGGCCACCACGTCCCGCGGCACCAGGTCTGGGACAGAGCGGGGACAGAGCGGGGTGTCCCCAGGGCCGTGGGGACAGCGGGAACCCCGAAATCCGCGCTGGGGCCCCCCAGGACCCACCCCCCCTCACCGATCTTGTTGAGGACGAGCACGAGGCGCTGCTGGGGCCGCAGGGCCCCCTCCAGCCGGGGGCTGCGGCAGCCCTGGGGGTCGCGGGCGTCCAGCACCTCCAGCACCACGTCAGACGCCGTCAGCACCTGCCAAAATCGGGGTTCAGGTGGGAAAGACCCCCCCAAAAATCCCCCCAAACCCGGCACTGACCTTGCGCAGCTCCCGCCCGAACTGTCGCAGCGCCGCCTCGTCCTGGGGGGGCTGGGGGGGCTCCTCCTCCTCCTCCTCCTTCTTCTCCTGGGGGCACCTGCGTTATGGGGACCCCCCATCCATGGGAGAGACCCCCGGGGAGCCCCCCGATTTATGGGGGGAATCCCCCGTGTGTGGGGAGCCCCTCGTCCTAGAGGACAGCCCCCCCTCCCAGGAGCCCCCCAGCCCCACCTGGCTCTGGAAGCGCTGCTGTCGCTGCAGAGCGTCCGCCAGGTGCGCGGCCAGGTGTGAGCGGGGCTGCACCTGCAGCACCTGCGGGACACGGAGGGGTCAGACCCCAAACCCCCGGGGATGAGACCCCAAATCCCCCCCGGGGTCAGACCCCAAACCCCCCGAGTTTTCCCTTGAGGGGGGGTCCCCAAGCCCCCCCGGTTCCGTACCCGTCCCTGCCGGTTCTTGCTCTGTTGCCGCACGAAGGCGGCGAAGCGGCCGAGCTGCGGCACCCCCGGGTCCTTCTTGATTCCGCCGCGGGCGCGCCGGGCCTGGGGACAACGGGGGGGTCACACACGGGGGGGGTCACACATGGGGGGTGACACACCGGGGGGGCAGCGGCTGCACCCCCGGGGCCGCACCTGGACGCGCTTCTTCCGGGACGCCTCCACCTGTCGGCCTGCAGGGAGGGGCGGGGTGAGTTCGGGGGGCGAGGGGGGGGTCCCCAAGACCCCCCCAGGCCCCTCCCGGTGTCTCCCCGAACTCACGGGACCGGGTCATGGCTGCGGCGCCCACGCTGCCGGGGATTCCTGGCGCTGCTCAGTGGCGTCACTTCCGGCGCGGGGGGAAATGACGTGGCAGCGTCCCTCACTCGCCGCACCCAACATGGCGGCGCACAGCCACAGCCACACCCAACATGGCGGCGCACAGCCACAGCCGCACCCAACATGGCGGCGCACAGCCACAGCCGCACCCAACATGGCGGGCACCATTCCCTCGTGCCGCGCCCCAAAACGGGGTCCCCGACCCCTCCCCCCCCTTCATGGCCACCGTGCCACGCCCAACATGGCGGCCCCACGCGAGGACCCCGCCCCGCCACACCCAACATGGCGGCCAGCCCCTCCCCTCCCCCAAGAACGACCGGGAGCGCCCTTACCAAGAGTGCACTTTTTTATTCCTTTTTTTTTTTTTTTTTTTTTTTAACTTTTTCTCTCAGTTTTGGGGTGGGGGGAGAAGGACTGAACTTATTTATAATTTCAGGGGCTCCCCCCCCCCCACCCACCATCCCCACCCCCAACAGCCCCCAACACGGGGGGAGGGGGTGAGGGAGGGGGGGGAGGGGAAGGAGGGAACCCCACCCCCTCCAACAGAGCCAAAACCCCCCCAAACCGGG